TAAAATATGCATTATAAGATGTTACATTAATATTTATATGTGTATATACATTGACACATACCATGTTTACATATCTGTGTTTTATATTTTCACAGAGGTGTGTGTGCCTAGGTATGTATACTTGTATATTTTTCGTATATTTTTATATAATCAGGCACTCAACGAATCAAACGTACATCAAGTAGCTAGTCCAGAACGACAATTTGCAATGACAGACATAGAGTATGTTTAGAATTTTTAAAATATGGTCAGAGTTAAATACAGAATAATTCTAACATCAGGTAATATCCATTCAATCTGACCTTATGATGTCTTCTCCCAACATAACTATCAATCCATCCATCCATATACCCAGCCATGCCACAACATTAAGATGGATGACGTTTCAATAGCTTACATTATACCAATCAAACTATCATTCCATCTACATCTATCTATATACCCATCCGTGCCATTATATCAATTCACCAATCATTGTATACTAATAACATAGAAATATATTTTATTTTTATATGGTGGATAACAGAAGATATACCTGGATATTGGCTACTTGGTGAAGGTGATATGCCTGCTGAGGAACATACAGATGGTAAGGCACCCTGTTTCCTACCTTTCTAACCATCCGTTTTACCCATCCGCCAATATAATCCTTCAATATTAAGATTCAAATAATTAAATTAAATGCAAACGAATTATGTGATCTTTAAAAATGTTTCGAACATTTCTAAATCCGATAATAAAATGAGTTTTAAAATCTAAGGAAATTTGTGGAGCAAAATTAAAGTAAAGTCTCTAATCATTTAATGATGATTATTTTTACAGGTGGATCTTCGTTTCATACAAGTAAGTTGCCTTCAATATTAAGATTCAAATAATTAAATTAAATGCAAACGAATTATGTGATCTTTAAAAACGTTTCGAACATTTCTAAATCCGATAATAAAATGAGTTTTAAAATCTAAGGAAATTTGTGGAGCAAAATTAAAGTAAAGTCTCTAATCATTTAATGTTGATTATTTTTACAGGTGGATCTTCGTTTCATACAAGTAAGTTGCCTGCTTTACTTAATATATTCAGTACTAGTTTTGATTATTTAGGGAATGTATATGAGAATAAATAATACGTAAGATTTGTTGTTAAGCATACTATGTAAATGAGGAGAATATTTTAAAATAATCCACCAACAAATAGGGATTTAGATAATATGTCTACCAAATTTAATAAAAAGGATGCCTCCGCTATGTGACACTTATATTGTTCATTTTCTATATATAACAATAAAGTACATAGTGGTTAAAATATGTCCGAGCTTGCATTCCTAAAATGATAAATGTTTGGTAGAACATTATATGAAATTTAAATTCAAATTTTGATTTCGCAGAAGTATCTCAATCGAGCTACCTAACTAATATACACCAAACAGTAAACATTGTCGGAACTGCATCCATATCCAGACAGATTCAATACGGGGTGCCCCAGGGATCAATATTAGGGCCTTTACTTTTTCTTCTCTACATGAATAATATTAACCACTCTACTGATGTTTTAAATTTCCGCCTCTTTGCAGATGATACAAATTTATTTAAATTCATGCAAACTAACTCTATTGATCTTTCTAATATCAACAATGATTTTGGAAACGTTTTACAGTGGTGCAATGCTAATAAATTAACAATTAATGTAGAAAAAACAAACTATATGATCCTGAAAACTTCGCAAAGAAACGTAAAAATGCGGGGACAGCTCGCAATCATCGATAGAAGTTGTGTGTAAAGCCACTTATCTGGGAGTAACCAATGACCCATGCCTAAATTGTGAAAACCATTAGTCCCAAAGTGGGCATAATATCTCGCATTCGTCACTATGTTCCCAGATCAATTCTCATCCTTTTTTTGCAAAACACTTATTCTCCCACACTTAATGCACTGTATTGAAATCTGGGGGAAACACATACCCAACACTTCTTGAAACAGTTCTGCTCTTACAAAAAAAGTTGTGCGCCTTATCACCTTCTCGCACTTTAAAGCACATTCTGCTCCTCTTTTTATCCAATTACGCATACTTGATATTCACAAACTTTGTAAATTACAAACCTGCCTATTTATATTCGACCTTAAACACAACAGATATGCACGTAGCCTCAATAAGTATGTTACTGATTACCCACATTGCTATCCCACAAGGTCAGTGTCTAGTGGTCAATTCCTGTTGCTCAACTTAAAGTTTCACAACATAATTTTAAATTTGCTGCTGTAAAACACTGGAATTCAGACTCCTTCAAAAATATCACCAACAGAAACAAATTTAAATATAAAATAAAACATTATTTGCTTTGTTAAATTCCTCGATTACCTCCCATTTCTCTTCATTTTTTTCTTTTCTTCTGCATATACATTTTTTGTACCAGTAGTTCGTTTATATTATTATTATACATAATATTTTTGTCATTTTTCATATCTAAACCATATAGATTACCTTTTAATTTTCGTTATGAAAATAGTAATATTTCTTTACTAGTAAATTGTCAATTTCTACTTGATAGTCTGGGCCATAGACTGAACTAGTCCATAAGGACTATTTCCATGGTCGCCACCAGAATTACTACTATTGCATTTTGTTTATAAGTTCCGTAATAATGGTCATTCTGGTGAAATAAATACATAAAAAAAATACATCTGTCATACACCGTAATGATTATGTTAGATCTCAGATTGCCGAGGGTCTTTATTACTTTGTATTACTTATAATTGATTTACTGCAAATAATTTCTCAATTTCAAGTAAACGTTTAGCTTAATCTTTTCTATATGCATTGATCCGCTGTATTAAATATAAAGTTATTCCCAATACATTTGTAATGTTCTGTATGTCTGTTCATCTTGTTTATATTACGGCAACATCTTGACATGTTCACAGTATTGTTCGATTTGTTGTTTGAGTAAAAAGAAAATGATGTCATCTTGTAAATATTTGTCGATATTTAATAAACACAAATATTGTTGTGGCATAGAGATTTGGGTTCGTCAGATCAGGAGGACTACGAATTGAATGTAGTGGTCCGGCTTGGATATATGTTCCAATTTACTTACGCTAAATATGGTTCTTGGGGGCCTTAACCTCTTTTTTGTCAAGGTCATACCGAATACACTAAACTAACTTATGTATTGACACGTGATGACAAGTGTTTTTTATCATCATAATACTTTAATAATTGTTTTACAAATAAGTTTACTTTCCCTAGTTGCAAATATGACAACATTTTGTTTAATTTCTACTATACATTGATCTGTTTTGTTTAATATAAAGTTATACCATACTCATACTCTTGTAATACTTATTCATCTTGTCCCTGTTTGTTTCTATCACAGCAATATTCTCAAATCTAACAGTATTAACCTAAACACATCTTTAGTATTTGATTTTTTTTAGTTTCTGTAAAAAATGATGTTGTGATCATGTAAATATTTGGTTTTTAGAAATGTATCACACGTATTGCTAATAAAATATATATTTTCTTTTTTGTGGCATACAGATTTGGGTACGTTAGATGTAAGTGATAGGCTATCACAAGGACTAAAAATTGAATCCAGTGACTCCGATATTGTTATAGATCCTATTTTTTCTGCACTTAACACAGCCAGTAATTTATATCAAGTTTTACACGGAATGATGGAAGCAGAGGAAGATGCAGCCATCAGGCAGGCACTGGCCGGTAAGACTGATCGTTGCGTTTATGTAAATCTGGTTGCACGCGTGCTAAAGAATCACATATATCGCTACCTGTTTCATTCTACTGTTGTTATTGAAAACCAATATTTTCTACTTTTATTCGTTGGATGACAGACATGCTTGCACGTGTGAGTAACTCAACTTCACCTGTTACGGAGGATGAAATAAATCGTCAGATTAGAATATACCAAGATTACATAAGCTTTCTTCAGGTATATTCAATGGCTCAGTCACATCTTAGCTTTGTGCTTGAAAGAAAGCAAGACCTAGAAGACTACAACACCAATGATGATCCAGCCATTGAAGATGAACTGGCACGGATTGAGTCAGAAATTGAGCAATACCGCCAAGCTGTGACCAGGCTAAAGGTTGAGTTTGTAAAAGTCACCAGTAGAGGTGCGTATGGCACCTCAGACTGGTCAACTGTCATCGCATATTACGTCACATGTTATTCTAGGCAAAATAATTATAATTAAAATTGATATATTGATTTGAAGGGACATTTAGCAATGTTCTACTGTTTGATGACAAGGGCGAAAGTAAATTAATTATATAATTCTATCAGTTTAAAATCAAAACGTTTTTTTTTTTTTTTGATGTGATAACAATTTGCAATTATGAATGACAATTTATAACCCGGATACAATACGCTACTATGACACATGAATATTTATTATTTGTTTTCAGAAACAATCATCAACGCTTTTCCATCGAAGAAGTGAACATGATAACAGTTATGTATCATTTTTGACGATAAATATTAAATGGAAATCTCATATACTATATATTTAAGCTTCCTTCGTCTTTGGTTATGTCAAATTATAATGTCAATTTCGACAAGCTTCAATATTATGTAAAGTTGCAAAAGAAGATTGAGCATGTAATTTTAAATGTAATACTTGAAGAATTTGATTTCCGGGCTGCTAATAAAGGGTGATAATATGCATATTAAATG